GGGGGAGCGATAAGGGGGGATACGTCACGGGAGGCCACGCCTCCCTCCCCGCCTCCCGGCTCTTAAAGGGGCCACGCCGCTGTGCGGAGTGCGCTACGGGATGTGGTGGGCCCCACCTGCCCCAGAGACAGGGCGGGGATGGCGGTCCCCCTTCCCCATATGGAGAGGACGTATCCGTCCCCCCCTTTCCCTATATACAGGGCACTGATGGGGGTCCCCCATGTGCCAGGGGGCTTGTGGGGCACCCACTTGCCCGATATGCGGGGCGTGGGTGGGGACCTCCCTCCCCGTGGGTCTGGGGGCTTACGGGGTCCCCCCTCCCCGTATACGGGGCGTTGTTGGGGTTCGCCTTCCCATCGGTCTTGCGGGGCTCCCCCTTCCCCATGCACACGGCGATGATGGGGGTTCCCCGTCCCCACACGCCGGCGGTGGGAGGGTGGGGGTCCCCTATGTGCCAGGGTGCTTATGGGGTGCCCTATACGGCGGGGGCTTGTGGGGTGCCCCCTCCCCGATACGACGCATACCGATGGGCTCCTCCTTCCCCAGATGCAGGCAGGGATGGGGGCCCCCATCCCCACAGCCTGGGGTGCTGGGGGTCCCCCCTCCCTGGGGACACCCCCACCCCGGCCGCACCCAGCCGTGCCCCGTCCCCACTGACGAACAGCGGCGTTCCTCTTGCAGATCCCTAAATGCCATTTTTGGGGACTTATTTTTATCGTTTCAGTCGACACATCAGATGCCTAAATCACACCAAACCCCAGCAGAGGCTCTCGGGAACATTTCAGCCTTAGTAGCCACCACCCCCCCAAAAAAAACGCGCCATCACCCCCCTAAAAAACGAAGAGCGTGTATCTGGAATGCCGGCAGCTGGATTTCCAACCACGATCCCGCTCGTTTGACAAGTAGAGTTAAATTTAATTATTTATTCCTTCGTGCCCTGGTGTAGGAGTAAGCGCTCGGGAACATTTTGTGAAAGAGGCTTCTCTAAAGCTTGTTAGATTTTATTGCCGAGTCAAATAAACAAGGGAGATAAAAGCTTTGCATTAATTTTTCTGCTTTATGTCATGCTTAATAGCGCTCTTAACAATCCTTTTCTTGCTTTTTTCCCCCGTTTATTCGTCGATCAGGAAAGCATTGGGGCACGCGATGCTGCCCTGCCTCCAACGCTGGCGGCTTTGCTGCGGGGATAATGAAAATACAAAATATTAGGGGGTTTAAAAGTGCTGGGAGAGCAGAGGGCAGATGCTGGCAAGGAGTTTATCGCGGGTTACATCTAGTAGGCTTCTTGGTTTGCTCTTGTCTAAGGGAGGTCTGAGTGTGAGGGGTTACAAGGGGATAACAAGGGGATGGCCTGGCAAATTTAGCTGCTAACATGGGCTGTGAGTTTTAAATTCAAAGTGGTTTGCTCCTCCAAAAGCAAACACAGTTGTAGAGGAGCCCCCTCCAACCTTGAGAATGCCCCTGCCCGACTGCCCTTCTCCTCACCCCCCAGACCCAGAAAACGCCTGAAAATGAACGTACGATGCTTAATTCCCCCTTTTCACTCCCAAAAGCTGAGCTGGAGGAGCGAGACTCCCCCCTGCCGCAGTAATTTGACATATCGGTGTTTTCCATCCCGTGTCACCCTCCGGGGAGGTAAACGTGCCGCTTGCGGCTCCCCCCCCCCCCCCCAGCGATACTCAAAAAGTCCCTCTGGGAAAGAAAAAATATTGCCTTGACTCTGAAACTGCGGGATGCTCAACTGAAGGATGGCATTACCCGAGGCACAGCGTGGTGCTGCACCACGGCCGCGCAAGAAATAACCAAAATCCTTGTTCTGAGCTGGTGCACCAGTTTATTTCAATTGCAAAATATATTTAGGTGGTGTTTCACTTATGCTTCATCTTACGGAGCAGCACGCAGAGCCTGCTGCCAGCTGAGAGCATCACCTGGGTACATGGACAGCCGCAGCAGAAGCAGCGCTCCTGAAATCACAGAGCGGGGGTTATTCCATAGAAGAGGGCATGGGCATTTCTGCACGGGGGCAAGGGGCCCAAGGGAAGAACTTCAGGTCTGGGGCACTTTGATGCCCAGCGCTGCAGCCTTCCCCGTCCCTCCCTGGGGACCAGCTCCCAGGGGCAACGGGACGCAGCACTGCCCTAGCAGGATTTGCCCAAAGGCAACTACGCTTGGATTCACGTCTTGGCTCAAAACAGCTCTCTCCAGGAAAAGAAACCAGGGCTTTCCAGCAATTTCTTCCATCGTCCGCTTCCTGTTGCCAGGAGACAGGCGCCGCGCTGTGATGTCACCGTGATGCAACACAGGCGTCACCGTGACGTTGCAGAACTCCCCAGGCAGCCGGCGCCACGGCCCTTCATTCTGCTGAGCGGCAGGACCAAGCCCGGCTGCTCGGGGAAAGGGCCACAGCTGGAAGTTGCAGCCAAGCTGTGAAAAAAGTACTTAAAATGGAGCC